GTGACAGAATAATTGATCACCCACAACGCCGAATAATCGTTGAGGCTGAATAGTGAGGGCAGGACAGCACCAGCCCAGATATTGCGGTAATATTCAGTTCTTAGTCTGATCTGACTTTTTACCAAAATATAGCATGAAATAGGGGTTAGGCATTTTCCAAATCAATATAAAGAACCGAACATTGCATTTGAGGAGTAAAGTGAACTTTAGACACAATAGGCGATCGGAACAAAGAGCCTCTCACGACTGAAGCAAGTGGTGAGGAAACCGTTTTATCCTTGTTTTGGAGGTATTGAATGATACAGGCCACACTTTACCGCCACTGAGCTGTCAGAGATCGGAGGAGAGATCAGATACCAGGCACTGGACATCCATATATTTCTGGGTGCACCCTTAAACCATCTGCATATATATTTACTCAAAACCCTTAATATAAAGCAGAATGAAGGTATTGATTTTCTAAGCGAGTCTTAGATGTGGCACAAGGCAGAAAGTATGGGGCACCCAGTGAGGATCGAACTCACTATTCAGTTGTAACAGTTTTAGCAAGACCAACTTGCTAACCATTACACCACGGCCAGGCGCCCAAAAGCATAATGAAGGTAAGAGCGAGGAGAGAGTCTTGAGGGAAGCCAGCATGGATCTCATGTGCCAAAGACCTTCATAGTCTCACCAGATAACTTTCTTAGTGAGTCTATAGCTAGAGAATTTGTTATACATATATACCGGACCACATACACAAACACGCACATACACAAACACGCATATATATATATATATATATATATATATATATATATATATATATATATATATATATATATATATATATATATATATGCTGATGTCGCAGTATGGGATAATTGTCCATCTAACAAAATGTTTAATATCTAAAAAACCTCGGGGTTTTCAGATAAGACGTTTAGCCAGTAAGATAACTTTAATCATTCCTACGCTACAACGGTTCAAAAAGCTTAATTTAACAATTGGACAATTTTGCTGTTACAGCCAGCATATATATATATATATATATATATATATATATATATATATATATATATATTTAAATAAATTGTTGGAGGTACAGAACTATAATATTGCAAGGAATAGATACAAATTATTTCCTAAAGGCATCATGAAAAATAAAAAAAAAATAAGAGATGATAACACTTACAGAACAGACCAACCGGTTTCGTTCCCAAGCTCATCAGGGTCGACTGCGAACAATTTAACAATTATTGCAATATATACTGACCTCACACAAACACCCTACATACAATTAAAACATTAAAAAATGAAATGATTAATGGTATGAGGGGGAAAAAAGTATATTTCAAACCGCGCGAATATGCACAGCACAAAGAAAAAAATGGTGAGTGTGAGGAGAATGTATGATAAACACTAGAGTCTAATAACGTGAAGCCCAAGTAGACAGACTCTTTGCTTGCAAACAGACGGCTCCCTGGACCGAATATACAAAGACTCAAGTGCCCTCAAATGAAATGGAGAGTGCGAACTGGACAGTACAGTAAACGAATTCGGACTGAAATCCTTCACACAATCCCTGCAATTTATCAAATGTTCAGTGATCGCTGACCCGGAAGTATTAACCAACTGGATCTTACGAGCATCCAGATTAAGAACTTGCAATGGGACATGCTGCCTGATCCTACAATCTAAATGTTGGAAAGTCCTTCCTATGTAGTTGCTACCGCAACCACATTTAAAAGAATAAATTACGGGAGAAACATGATGGGGGGGGGAAGAGGATCCTTACGGATAGAGGAAAAGGCAGAACGAGTCGCAAAATGAATCCTTAGTTGAGCATATATATATATATATATATATATATATATATATATATATATATATGTGTGTGTGTGTGTGTGTGTGTGTGTGTTGAACAATAAAAATTGTTAAAAATTAAAATTTCTGAAACACTGGTTTGCATATTAATCTTTTTGTTTTATTTTTTAATTACGTCCCTCAATTAGTTTCGGACAGCATAGCCATCGTCAGGAGAAAAATTCATCCTTCTTGGTAGCCGTGAACTACAGGGGTGAATGCTAGTCTCTGATTAAGTTGAACTTGGTCTGCAGTTTTCATTTGTTTTTTCATCAGTCACTTTTGGTCAGTTCTGGGACTGGTCAATGATCCGTTTTTCAAGTTGTTTTTTGTAAGGAGAGATCGGGAGACCCATGAGTCTCAGATTTACCTCTTGAGTTACTTTGCTAGCTTTATTGGTTGCTGGAAAGGGGATGCGTGTTATGTGTATGTTATTTTTAATTTTTTGGGTGTGTGTGTAATGTGTGTATGTGTATATATTTGTGAGTGTGTGTGTGTGTGTGTGAGAGTTTGTATATGGGAGCATGTCTGTCTGGTGTGTTTGAGGGTGGGAGGTTAGGGGAGTCAGCTTGGGCCTTTCATGGGTGGTGTCATGTTTTATGTAGTAACAGTAGAGTATATTCAACTATGCAGAGATTATAATGTGTAAGAGAGAAATATGGGGTGAAGGTGATCTATGGGGTTATATATTCATTTTATCTGTGTTGTTTAGTTTGCCGTTAAATCCATGCCGACAAAGTGTTTGAGGCGCAAAATCCTTTTGTCTTCATGTTCTAGTATTTTCCTAACTTTGTCTTTTGTGTCTATTTCTATTCTTTCAATAAGAAATTTCTTTTCATAAGAACCCAACTATTAACTGGGAGATAATTGCGAAAGATAAGCCAGACAACGGAAAGTGAGATAGATGTAACTTATGTTCATTGGAGAAGCTTATTATATTAAAACGCTTAAATAATCCTAACTTGCTGAACACAAGATCCGAATTAATGTCTACATGCAGCCACAAATCCAAGTACCTGCTAAAAAAACTTTGACCTTGATTAAAAGTGATTACAAAATGGATTTTATGAATATTAATATAATATGCAACAACTTTTAATATTCTCAGAACTCATTATTTATAACTTTCCTTATGACATTACTGGTCAAATTTTATTAACCTCTTACAAAATGGAGTTTTTTTTCTCCCAATAATGAACTGCAAAGGGGTCTCATGAATGGAACGACGTTGTAATTGCCAATTTCAACACCCTTGCGAATGGTAAGGATGTGGAAAGGGCAATTAAACTAGCCACTGATGCTTCAGAAATTGTATATGGACAAGAAGCAAGGCACAAGCACATTATTACTAAACCACTGTTATCAGTTTATTTCAAAGGGAAATAATACTGAACAATATAGCTATATTATGATGTAATACGTTATAGAGTGCAGTAGTTTTAGCGTGATTTTGAATAAACTATCCAAATTTAAAATATTTTGTCTTATAATCTCTGCCCAGCAGTATTATAGTCTTATATACACTTTTTTCTAACTTTGTTTTTCCTTAATTATGATCTAAGAAATGTTGTAAGAAATTATTCATTGATTAGCCTTTTTGTAATCTTTTACAATTTTTACGGTTTTCATTTATCGAATATAAAATATTTTACTCGAGGAAATTCATAATTAGAATTCTGGTTTGAATATATTTTCCATTCAATGTATCTAATACAAAAACATATCAACTTTATTTAGATTGATTCTTGAAATAGAAAATTTTTGAATTCATTTTGTAAGAAGAACCTGCGGAAATTAGGTTTTTGGACATTTTGTTCCAAAGTGATCAAAAATTTCTAAAACATGAATTAATTTTTGATTTTAGTACTTATCACATCGAATATCAGCTTTTAGATCGAGTGCAAAATGGATATTTATAAAAAATGAAAAATCAACCTGCCCCATTGACCAAGTGGTTAGAACCTGAGTTCGAATTTTACTATAGTTGATTTGTCAGAAAGGTGACTACTTAATGATGATATACAAAATAAATATATATATATTATATCCAAAGAAACTAGACATGGCGTCAAAAGAAAAAAATGAAAGAAAACTATTGATTTTCATGGAGGTGGGTTCCTATGTGACAACATTGATTTTCTGGGAGGTTGGTTTCCGGGACCACATTGAACTTCAGGGAGCTTGGTTCATGTGTGACCACATTGACTTTCGGGGAGGTTGGTTCCTCTGAGACCACATTGACTTTCCACATTGGGGGGTTGGTTCTTGGGGCCACATAGACTTTAAGGGAGGTTGGTTCCTCTGACCACATTGAACTTCAGGGAGATCGATTTCTGTGACCACATTAACATTCGTGTAGGTTGGTTCCTCTGTAAACCACATTGACTTTCGGGGAGGTTGGTTCCTCTGTAACCACATTGATTTCGGGGAGGTTGGTTCCTCTGGGGCCACATAGAACTTCAGTGAGGTTAGTTCCTCTGTAAACACATTGACTTTCAGGGAGGTTGGTTCCTCTGGGACCACATAGAATTTCAGTGAGTTGGCTCCTCCGTAACCACATTGACTTTCGTTGTCCTCTGGGACCACATAGAAATTCAGTGAGGTTGGTTCCTCTGGGACCACATAGAATTTCAGTGAGGTTAGTTCCTCTGTAAACCACATTGACTTTCGTGTAGGTTGGTTCCTCTGGGACCACATAGAACTTCAGTGAGGTTAGTTCCTCTGTAAGCACATTGACTTTCGGGGAACCACATTGAATTTCAGTGAGGTTAGTTCTTCTGTAACCATTGATTTTCGTGTTGGTTCCTCTGGGACCACATAGAATTTCAGTGAGGTTAGTTCCTCTGTAACCACATTGACTTTCGTGTAGGTTGGTTCATCTGGGACCATAGAACTTCAGTGAAGTTCCTCTGTAACCAGAATTACAGTGAGGATAGTTCCTCTGTAACCACATTGACTTTTCGTGTAGGTTGGTTCCTCTTGGACCACAAAGAATTTCAGTGAGGTTAGTTCTTCAGTGAGTGTTCTGGGACCACATAGAATTTCAGTGAGGTTAGTTCTCTGTAACCACATTGACATTTCGTGGAGGTTGGTTCATCTGGGACCACATAGAATTTCAGTGAGGTTAGTTCCTCTGTAACTGGGACATTGTGAGGTTAGTTTTGACGTGGGGTTGGTTCCTCTGGGAGGTTGGTTCCTCTCTGGGACCACATAGAATTCAGTGAGGTTAGTTCCTCCTGTAACCACATTGACTTTCGGGGAGGTTGGTTCCTGGGACATAGAATTTCAGTGAGGTTAGTTCCTCTGTAACCACATTGACCTCTGGGACACATCGGGGAGGTTGGTTCCTCTGGGACCACATAGAACTTCCACATTGTGAGGTTTTCCTCTGGGACCACACATTGAGGTTGGTTCTTCTGTGATGACATGGGGAGGTTGGTTCAGAATTTCAGTGAGGTTGGTTCTCTGACCACATAAACTTCAGTTTAGTTCCCACATTGACTTTCGTGGTTGGTTCCTCTGGGACCACATAGAATTTCAGTGAGGTTAGTTCCTCTGTAACCACATTGAATTTCGTGTAGGTTGGTTCCTCTGGGACCACATAAAACTTCAGTGAGGTTAGATCCTCTGTAAGCACATTGACTTTCGGGGAGGTTGTTTCCACTGGGACCACATAGAATTTCAGTGAGGTTGGCTCATCCGTAACCACATTGACTTTCGTGTGGGTTGGTTCCTCTGGGACCACATAGAAATTCAGTGAGGTTGGTTCTTCTGTGATGACATTGACTTTCGTGTAGGTTGGTTCCTCTGGGACCACATAGAAATTCAGTGAGGTTAGTTCCTCTGGTTCCTTTCTGTAGGTTGGTTCCTCTGGGACCACATAGAACTTCAGTGAGGTTAGTTCCTCTGTAACCACATTGACATTCGGGGAGGTTGGTTCCTCTGGGACCACATAGAATTTCAGTGAGGTTAGTTCCTCTGTAACCACATAGAATTACAGTGAGGATAGTTCCTCTGTAACCACATTGACTTTCGGGGAGGTTGGTTCCTCTTGGACCACAAAGAATTTCAGTGAGGTTAGTTCCTCTGTAACCACATTGACTTTCGGTTGGCTCATCTGGGACCATTAGTTCCTTCATAGATTGACTTTCAGTAGGTTGGTTCCTCTGGGGACCACACAGAATTACAGTGAGGTTAGTTCCTCTGTAACCACATTGACTTTCAGGTAGGTTGGTTCCTCTTGGACCACATAGAACTTCAGTGAGGTTCTGTAACCCTCTTTCGGGGTGGTTCCTCTGGGACCACATAGAATTTCAGTGAGGATGGTTCCTCTGTAACCACATTGATTTTCGGTAGGTTGTGGTTCCTCTGGGACCACATAGAATTTCAGTGAGGTTAGTTCTCTGTAACCACATTGACTTTCGTGTAGGTTGGTTCCTCTGGGACCACATAGAACTTCAGTGAGGTTAGTTCCTCCTACCAATCTCCTCTGGGACTGTAGTGAGGTTGGTTCATCTGTACATTGACTTTCGTGTGGGTTGGTTCCTCTGGGACCACATAGAAATTTCAGTGAGGTTAGTTCCTCTGTAACCACATTGACTTTCGGGGAGTTTGGTTCCTCTGGGACCACATAGAATTTCAGTGAGGTTAGTTCCTCTGTAACCACATTGACTTTCGTGTAGGTTGGTTCATCTGGGACCACATAGAACTTCAGTGAGGTTGGTTCCTCTGGGACCACATAGAACTTCAGTTAGGTTGGTTCTCTCTGGGACCACATAGAATTTCAGTGAGGTTAGTTCCTCTGTAACCACATTGACATTCGGGGAGGTTGGTTCCTCTGGGACCACATAGAATTTCAGTGAGGTTAGTTCCTCTGTAACCACATTGACTTTCAGTGGTTGGTTCCTCTGGGACCACATAGGTTAGTGGTTTCCTCTGGGACCACATAGAATTTCAGTGAGGTTGGATTCCTCTGTAACATTGACTTTCGTGGGTTGGTTCATCTGGGACCACATAGAACTTCAGTGGGTTCCTCTGTAACCACATTGTGAGGTTTTCTCTGGACTTTCATTAGGTTGGTTCCTCTGGGACCACATAGAATTTCAGTGAGGTTAGTTCCTCTGTAACCACATTGACATTTTGTAGGTTGGTTCCTCTGGGACCACATAGAACTCAGTGAGGTTAGTTCCTCTGTAACCACATTGACACTGGGTAGGTTGGTTCCTCTGGGACCACATAGAACTTCAGTGAGGTTAGTTCCTCTGTAACCACATTGACTTTCGTGTAGGTTGGTTCCTCTGGGACCACATAGAACTTCAGTGAGGTTAGTTCCTCTGTAACCACATTGACTTTCGTGTAGGTTGGTTCCTCTGGGACCACATAGAACTTCAGTGAGGTTAGTTCCTCTGTAACCACATTGACTTTCGTGTAGGTTGGTTCCTCTGGGACCACATAGAACTTCAGTGAGGTTAGTTCCTCTGTAACCACATTGACTTTCGTGTAGGTTGGTTCCTCTGGGACCACATAGAACTTCAGTGAGGTTAGTTTCCTCTGTAACCACATTGACTTTCGTGTAGGTTGGTTCCTCTGGGACCATAGAACTTCAGTGAGGTTAGTCTGTAACCACATTGTTTTCGTGTAGGTTGGTTCCTCTGGGACCACATAGAACTTCAGTGAGGTTAGTTCCTCTGTAACCACATTGACTTTCGGGAGGTTGGTTCCTCTGGGACCACATAGAACTTCAGTGAGGTTGGTTCCTCTGTAACCACATTGACATTCGGGGAGGTTGGTTCATCTGGGACCACATAGAATTTCAGTGAGGTTAGTTCCTCTGTAACCACATTGACTTTCGTGTAGGTTGGTTCCTCTGGGACCACATAGAACTTCAGTGAGGTTAGTTCCTCTGTAAGCACATTGACATTCGGGGAGGTTGGTTCATCTGGGACCACATAGAACTTCAGTGAGGTTAGTTCCTCTGTAACCACATTGACTTTCGTGTAGGTTGGTTCCTCTGGGACCACATAGAACTTCAGTGAGGTTAGTTCCTCTGTAACCACATTGACTTTCGTGTAGGTTGGTTCCTCTGGGACCACATAGAACTTCAGTGAGGTTAGTTCCTCTGTAACCACATTGACTTTCGTGTAGGTTGGTTCCTCTGGGACCACATAGAACTTCAGTGAGGTTAGTTCCTCTGTAACCACATTGACTTTCGTGTAGGTTGGTTCCTCTGGGACCACATAGAACTTCAGTGAGGTTAGTTCCTCTGTAACCACATTGACTTTAAGGGACCACATTGACATTCTATAACCACATTGGTTCCTCTGGGACCACATAGAACTTCAGTGAGGTTAGTTCCTCTGTAACCACATTGACTTCGTGTAGGTTGGTTCCTCTGGGACCACATAGAACTTCAGTGGTTAGTTCCTCTGTAACCACATTGAAGGTTGGTTCCTCTGGGACCACATAGAACAGTGAGGTTAGTTCCTCTGTAACCACATTGATTTCTCGTGTATGTTGGTTCCTCTGGGACCATAGAACTTCAGTGAGGTTAGTTCCTCTGGACCCACATAGAACTTCAGTGAGGTTAGTTCCTCTGTAACCCATTGACTTTCGTGTGGGTTGGTTCCTCTGGGAACATAGAACTTCAGTGAGGTTAGTTCCTCTGTAACCACATTGACTTTCGTGTAGGTTGGTTCCTCTGGGACCACATAGAACTTCAGTGAGGTTAGTTCCTCTGTAACCACATTGACTTTCGTGTAGGTTGGTTCCTCTGGGACCACATAGAACTTCAGTGAGGTTAGTTCCTCTGTAAGGTTGGTTCCACATTGACTTTCATGTGTAGGTTAGTTCCTCTGGGACCACATAGAACTTCTTGTGAGGTTGGTTCCTCTGGGAACCACATTGAACTTCGTGAGGTTGGTTCCTCTGGGACCATAGAACTTCAGTGAGGTTAGTTGACAGAACTCAGTGAGGTTAGTTCCTCTGTTCCATTGACTTTCGGGACCTGGGACCACATAGAACTTCAGTGAGGTTAGTTCCTCTGTAACCACATTGACTTTCGTGTAGGTTGGTTCCTCTGGGACCACATAGAACTTCAGTGAGGTTAGTTCCTCTGTAACCACATTGACTTTCGTGTAGGTTGGTTCCTCTGGGACCACATAGAACTTCAGTGAGGTTAGTTCCTCTGTAACCACATTGACTTTCGTGTAGGTTGGTTCCTCTGGGACCACATAGAACTTCAGTGAGGTTAGTTTGACTTTCGTGTAGGTTGGTTCCTCTGGGACCACATTTCAGAGGTTAGTTCCTCTGTAACCACATTGGAGGTTGGTTCCTCTGGGACCACATAGAACTTCAGTGAGGTTAGTTCCTCTGTAACCATTGACTTTCGTGTAGGTTGGTTCCTCTGGGACCACATAGAACTTCAGTGAGGTTAGTTCCTCTGTAACACATTGACTTTCGTAGGTTGGTTCCTCTGGGACCACATAGAACTTCAGTGAGGTTAGTTCCTCTGTAACCACATTGACTTTCGTGTAGGTTGGTTCCTCTGGGACCACATAGAACTTCAGTGAGGTTAGTTCCTCTGTAAATCACATTGACTTTCAGGGAGGTTGGTTCCTCTGGTGAGGTTAGTTCCTGTAACATACATTGAAGGTTGGTTCCTTTGGGACCAGAACTGTGAGGTTAGTTCCTCTGTAACCACATTGACTTTCGTGTAGGTTGGTTCCTCTGGGACCACATAGAACTTCAGTGAGGTTAGTTCCTCTGTAACCACATTGACTTTCGTGTAGGTTGGTTCCTCTGGGACCACATAGAACTTCAGTGAGGTTAGTTCCTCTGTAACCACATTGACTTTCGTGTAGGTTGGTTCCTCTGGGACCACATAGAACTTCAGTGAGGTTAGTTCCTTTTGACTTTCGTGTAGGTTGGTTCCTCTGGGACCACATAGAACTAGAACTCTCCACATTGTTTCGAGGTTGGTTCCTCTGGGACCACATAGAACTAGTGAGGTTAGTTCACTCTGTAGTAACCACATTGACTTTCGTGTATGTTGGTTCCTCTGGGACCACATAGAACTTCAGTGAGGTTAGTTCCTCTGTAACCACATTGACTTTCGTGTAGGTTGGTTCCTCTGGGACCACATAGAACTTCAGTGAGGTTAGTTCCTCTGTAACCACATCGACTTTCGTGTAGGTTGGTTCCTCTGGGACCACATAGAACTTCAGTGAGGTTAGTTCCTCTGTAACCACATTGACTTTCGTGTAGGTTGGTTCCTCTGGGACCACATAGAACTTCAGTGAGGTTAGTTCCTCTGTAACCACATTGACTTTCGTGTAGGTTGGTTTCCTCTGGGACCACATAGTTGGTTCCTCTGGGACCACATAGAACTTCAGTGAGGTTGGTTCCTCTGGGACCACATAAACTTCACATTGAACTTTCGTGTAGGTTGGTTCCTCTGGGACCACATAGAACTTCAGTGAGGTTAGTTCCTCTGTAACCACATTGACTTTCGTGTAGGTTGGTTCCTCTGGGACCACATAGAACTTCAGTGAGGTTAGTTCCTCTGTAACCACATTGACATTTCGTGGGAGAACTTCAGTGAGGTTCCTCTTGGGACCTGGGACCATAGAACTTCAGTGAGGTTAGTTCCTCTGTAACCACATTGACTTTCGTGTAGGTTGGTTCCTCTGGGACCACATAGAACTTCAGTGAGGTTAGTTCCTCTGTAACCACATTGACTTTCGTGTAGGTTGGTTCCTCTGGGACCACATAGGAACTTCAGTGAGGTTAGTTCCTCTGTAACCACATTGACTTTCGTGTAGGTTGGTTCCTCTGGGACCACATAGAACTTCAGTGAGGTTAGTTCCTCTGTAACCACATTGACTTTCGTGTGGGTTGGTTCCTCTGGGACCACATAGAACTTCAGTGAGGTTAGTTCTTCTGTAACCACATTGACTTTCGTGTAGGTTGGTTCCTCTGGGACCACATAGAACTTCAGTGAGGTTAGTTCCTCTGTAACCACATTGACTTTCGTGTAGGTTGGTTCCTCTGGGACCACATAGAACTTCAGTGAGGTTAGTTCCTCTGTAACCACATTGACTTTCGTGTAGGTTGGTTCCTCTGGGACCACATAGAACTTCAGTGAGGTTAGTTTTCCTCTGTAACCACATTGACTTTCGTGTGTAGGTTGGTTCCTCTGGGACCACATAGAACTTCAGTGAGGTTAGAACACATTCTGGGAGGTTGGTTCCTCTGGGACCACATAGAACTTCAGTGAGGTTAGTTCCTCTGTAACCACATTGACTTTCGTGTAGGTTGGTTCCTCTGGGACCACATTTCAGTGAGGTTAGTTCCTCTGTAACCACATTGACTTTCGTGTGGTGGTCCTCTGGGACCACATAGAACTTCAGTGAGGTTAGTTCCTCTGTAACCACATTGACTTTCGTGTAGGTTGGTTCCTCTGGGACCATAGAACTTCAGTGAGGTTGGTTCCTCTGTAACCACATTGACTTTCGTGTTGGTTCCTCTGGGACCACATAGAACTCAGTGAGGTTAGTTCCTCTGTAACCACATTGACTTTCGTGTAGGTTGGTTCCTCTGGGACCACATAGAACTTTAGTTCCTCTGTAACCACATTGACTTTCGTGTAGGTTGGTCCTCTCCACATAGAACTTCAGTGAGGTTAGTTCCTCTGTAACATTGACTTTCGTGTAGGTTGGTTCCTCTGGGACCACATAGAACTTCAGTGAGGTTAGTTCCTCTGTAACCACATTGACTTTCGTGTAGGTTGGTTCCTCTGGGACCACATAGAACTTCAGTGAGGTTAGTTCCTCTGTAACCACATTGACTTTCGTGTGGTTGGTTCCTCTGGGACCACATAGAACTTCAGTGAGGTTAGTTCCTCTGTAACCACATTGACTTTCGTGTAGGTTGGTTCCTCTGGGACCTCTGTAACATAGAACTTCAGTGAGGTTAGTTCCTCTGTAACCACATTGACTTTCGTGTAGGTTGGTTCCTCTGGGACCACATAGAACTTCAGTGAGGTTAGTTCCTCTGTAACCACATTGACTTTCGTGTAGGTTGGTTCCTCTGGGACCACATAGAACTTCAGTGAGGTTAGTTCCTCTGTAACCACATTGACTTTCGAGGTTGGTTCCTCTGGGACCACATAGAACTTCAGTGAGGTTAGTTCCTCTGTAACCACATTGACTTTCGTGTAGGTTGGTTCCTCTGGGACCACATAGAACTTCAGTGAGGTTAGTTCCTCTGTAACCACATTGACTTTCGTGTAGGTTGGTTCCTCTGGGACCACATAGAACTTCAGTGAGGTTAGTTCCTCTGTAACCACATTGACTTTCGTGTAGGTTGGTTCCTCTGGGACCACATAGAACTTCAGTGAGGTTAGTTCCTCTGTAACCACTGACTTTCGTGTAGGTTGGTTCCTCTGGGACCACATAGAACTCTCAGTGAGGTTAGTTCCTCTGTAACCACATTGACTTTCGTGTAGGTTGGTTCCTCTGGGACCACATAGAACTTCAGTGAGGTTAGTTCCTCTGTAACCACATTGACTTTCGTGTAGGTTGGTTCCTCTGGGACCACATAGAACTTCAGTGAGGTTAGTTCCTCTGTAACCACATTGACTTTCGTGTAGGTTGGTTCCTCTGGGACCACATAGAACTTCAGTGAGGTTAGTTCCTCTGTAACCACATTGACTTTCGTGTAGGTTGGTTCCTCTGGGACCACATAGAACTTCAGTGAGGTTAGTTCCTCTGTAACCACATTGACTTTCGTGTAGGTTGGTTCCTCTGGGACCACATAGAACTTCAGTGAGGTTAGTTCCTCTGTAACCACATTGACTTTCGTGTAGGTTGGTTCCTCTGGGACCACATAGAACTTCAGTGAGGTTAGTTCCTCTGTAACCACATTGACATTCGTGTGAGGTTGGTTCCTCTGGGGACCACATAGAACTTCAGTGAGGTTAGTTCCTCTGTAACCACATTGACTTTCGTGTAGGTTGGTTCCTCTGGGACCACATAGAACTTCAGTGAGGTTAGTTCCTCTGTAACCACAGTGTAGGTTGGTTCCTCTGGGACCACATAGAACTTCAGTGAGGTTAGTTCCTCTGTAACCACATTGACTTTCGTGTAGGTTGGTTCCTCTGGGACCTCATAGAACTTCAGTGAGGTTAGTTCCTCTGTAACCACATTGAATTTCGTGTAGGTTGGTTCCTCTGGGACCACATAGAACTTCAGTGAGGTTAGTTCTCTGTAACCACATTGACTTTCGTGTAGGTTGGTTCCTCTGGGACCACATAGAACTTCAGTGAGGTTCCTCTGGGACCACATTGACTTTCGTGTAGGTTGGTTCCTCTGGGACCACATAGAACTTCAGTGAGGTTAGTTCCTCTGTAACCACATTGACTTTCGGGTAGGTTGGTTCCTCTGGGACCACATAGAACTTCAGTGAGGTTAGTTCCTCTGTAACCACATTGACTTTCGTGTAGGTTGGTTCCTCTGGGGACCACATAGAACTTCAGTGAGGTTAGTTCCTCTGTAACCACATTGACTTTCGTGTAGGTTGGTTCCTCTGGGACCACATAGAACTTCAGTGAGGTTAGTTCCTCTGTAACCACATTGACTTTCGTGTAGGTTGGTTCCTCTGGGACCACATAGAACTTCAGTGAGGTTAGTTCCTCTGTAACCACATTGACTTTTGTGTAGGGTTGGTTCCTCTGGGACCACAAACCACATAGAACTGAACCTCTGTAACCACATTCAGTGTAGGTTGGTTCCTCTGGGACCACATTAGTTTGGTTCCTCTGTAACCACATTGACTTTCGTGTAGGTTGGTTCCTCTGGGACCACATAGAACTTCAGTGAGGTTAGTTCCTCTGTAACCACATTGACTTTCGTGTAGGTTGGTTCCTCTGGGACCACATAGAACTTCAGTGAGGTTAGTTCCTCTGTAACCACATTGACTTTCGTGTAGGTTGGTTCCTCTGGGACCACATAGAACTTCAGTGAGGTTAGTTCCTCTCTGTAACCACATTGACTTTCGGGTAGGTTGGTTCCTCTGGGACCACAAAGAACTTCAGTGAGGTTAGTTCCTCTGTAACCACATTGACTTTCGTGTAGGTTGGTTCCTCTTGGGACCACATAGAACTTCAGTGAGGTTAGTTCCTCTGTAACCACATTGACTTTTCGTGTAGGTTGGTTCCTCTGGGACCTCTGTAACCATAGAACTTTCTCTGGGACCACATGGTGTGAGGTTAGTTCCTCTGTAACCACATTGACTTTCGTGTAGGTTGGTTCCTCTGGGACCACAGAACTTCAGTGAGGTTAGTTCCTCTGTAACCACATTACTGACTTTCGTGTAGGTTGGTTCCTCTGGGACCACATAGAACTTCAGTGAGGTTAGTTCCTCTGTAACCACATTGACTTTCGTGTAGGTTGGTTCCTCTGGGACCACATAGAACTTCAGTGAGGTTAGTTCCTCTGTAACCACATTGACTTTCGTGTAGGTTGGTTCCTCTGGGACCACATAGAACTTCAGTGAGGTTAGTTCCTCTTTAACCACATTGAACTTTCGTGTAGGTTGGTTCCTCTGGGACCACATAGAACTTCAGTGAGGTTAGTTCCTCTGTAACCACATTGACTTTCGTGTAGGTTGGTTCCTCTGGGACCACATAGAACTTCAGTGAGGTTAGTTCCTCTGTAACCACATTGACTTTCGTGTAGGTTGGTTCCTCTGGGACCACATAGAACTTCAGTGGTTAGTTCCTCTGTAACCACATTGACTTTCGTGTAGGTTGGTTCCTCTGGGACCACATAGAACTTCAGTGAGGTTAGTTCCTCTGTAACCACATTGACTTTCTCGTAGGTTGGTTCCTCTGGGACCACATAGAACTTTCAGTGAGGTTAGTTCCTCTGTAACCACATTGACTTTCGTGTAGGTTGGTTCCTCTGGGACCACATAGAACTTCAGTGAGGTTAGTTCCTCTGTAACCACATTGACTTTCGTGTAGGTTGGTTCCTCTGGGACCATAGAACTTCAGTGAGGTTAGTTCCTCTGTAACCACATTGACTTTCGTGTAGGTTGGTTCCTCTGGGACCACATAGAACTTCAGTGAGGTCAACCCATACTGACATTCGTGTGGGTTCCTCTCTGGGACCCATAGAATTTCAGTGAGGTTAGTTTCTCTGTAACCATTGACTTTCGTGTGGGTTGGTTCCTCTGGGACCACAAAGAACTTCAGTGAGGTTAGTTCCTCTGTAACCACATTGACTTTCGTGTAGGTTGGTTCCTCTGGGACCACATAGAACTTCAGTGAGGTTAGTTCCTCTGTAACCACATTGACTTTCGTGTAGGTTGGTTCCTCTGGGACCACATAGAACTTCAGTGAGGTTAGTTCCTCTGTAACCACATTGACTTTCGGGGAGGTTGGTTCCTCTTGGACCACAAAGAATTTCAGTGAGGTTAGTTCCTCTGTAACCACATTGACTTTCGTGTAGGTTGGTTCCTCTGGGACCACATAGAACTTCAGTGAGGTTAGTTCCTCTGTAACCACATTGACTTTCGTGTGTTGGTTGGTTCATAGAACTTCAGTGGGAGTTCCTCTGTAACCACATTGACTTTTTCCAGAACCACAAAGAACTTCAGTGAGGTTAGTTCCTCTGTAACCACATTGACTTTCGTGTGTGGTTGGTTCCTCTGGGACCACATAGAACTTCAGTGAGGTTAGTTCCTCTGTAACCACATTGACTTTCGTGTAGGTTGGTTCCTCTGGGACCACAAGAACCTTTAGAGTTGGATTCCTCCTCTGTAACCACATTGACTTTCGTGTAGGTTGGTTCCTTCCAGTTCAGTGGTTAGTTCCTCTGTAACCACATTGACTTTCGTGTAGGTTGGTTCCTCCTGGGGACCACATAGAACCTCTCAACAGTTGACTTTCGGGTAGGTTGGTTCCTCTTGGACCACAAAGAACTTCAGTGAGGTTGGTTCCTCTGTAACCTTTCTGTAACCACCTCTGGGACCACATTTCAGTGAGGTTAGTTCCTCTGTAACCACATTGACTTTCGGGAGTTGGTTCCTCTGGGACCACTGTAGAACTTCAGTGAGGTTAGTTCCTCTGTAACCACATTGACTTTCGTGGGAGGTTGGTTCCTCTTGGACCACATAGAACTTCAGTGAGTTGGTTCCTCTGTAACCACATTGACTTTCGTGTGGGTTGGTTCTGGGACTTCAGTGGACTTTCGTGTGGGTTGGTTCCTCTGGGACCATAGAACTTCAGTGAGGTTAGTTCCTCTGTAACCACATTGACTTTCGTGTAGGTTGGTTCCTCTGGGACCACATAGAACTTCAGTGAGGTTAGTTCCTCTGTAACCACATTGACTTTCGTGTAGGTTGGTTTCCTCTGGGACCACATAGAACTTCAGTGAGGTTAGTTCCTCTGTAACCACATTGACTTTCGTGTAGGTTGGTTCCTCTGGGACCACATAGAACTTCAGTGAGGTTGGTTCCTCTGTAACCACATTGACTTTCGGGGAGGTTGGTTCCTCTGGGACCACAAAGACCTCAGTGAGGTTAGTTCCTCTGTAAACACATTGACTTTCGTGCAGGTTGGTTCCTCTGGGACCACATAGAACTTCAGTGAGTTGTTAGTTCCTCTCTGTAACCACATTGACTTTCGTGTAGGTTGGTTCCTCTGGGACCACATAGAACTTCAGTGACCTGTAACCACATTGACTTCTCGTGAACCACAAAGAATTCAGTGAGGTTAGTTCCTCTGTAACCACATTGACTTTCGGGTAGGTTGGTTCCTCTGGGACCACAAAGAACTTTAGTTCCTCTGTAACCACATTGACTTTCGTGTAGGTTGGTTCCTCTGGGACCATAGAACTTCAGTGACATTCTGTAACCACAGGTGTGGTTGGTTCCTCTGGGACCACATAGAACTTCCTCTGTAACCAGTGAGGTTTGGTTCCCTCTGTAAACTCACATTGACTCCTCTCCTCTTGGACCACAAAACTTCAGAATAGGTTGGTTCCTCTGTTCCTTCTGGGACCACATAGAACTTCAGTGAGGTTAGTTCCTCTGTAACCACATTGACTTTCGGGGAGGTTGGTTCCTCTGGGACCACATAGAATTTCAGTGAGGTTAGTTCCTCTGTAACCACATTGACTTTCGTGTAGGTTGGTTCCTCTGGGACCACATAGAACTTCAGTGAGGTTAGTTCCTCTGTAACCACATTACTTTCGACTTTTCCTCTGGAGGTTGGTTCCTCTGGGACCACATAGAACTCTCCAACTTCAGTGAGGTTAGTTCCTCTGTAACCACATTGACTTTCGTGTAGGTTGGTTCCTCTGGGACCACATAGAACTTCAGTGAGGTTAGTTCCTCTGTAACCACATTGACTTTCGTGTAGGTTGGTTCCTCTGGGACCACATAGAACTTCAGTGAGGTTAGTTCCTCTGTAACCACATTGACTTTCGTGTAGGTTGGTTCCTCTTGGACCACAAAGAATTTCAGTGAGGTTAGTTCCTCTGTAACCACATTGACTTTCGTGTAGGTTGGTTCCTCTGGGACCACATAGAACTTCAGTGAGGTTAGTTCCTCTGTAACCACATTGACTTTCGTGTAGGTTGGTTCCTCTGGGACCTAGAACTTCAGTGAGGTTAGTTCCTCTAAATCACATTGACTTTCGGGTAGGTTGGTTTCTTCTGGGACCACATAGAACTTCAGTGAGGTTAGTTCCTCTGTAACCACATTGACTTTCGTGTGGGTTGGTTCCTCTGGGACCACATAGAACTTGGTTCTCTGGGAAATTCCTTCAATAACCACATTTACTTTCGTGTCCTCTGGGACCACATAGAACTTCACAGGTTGACATTCTTTGGTAGGCTGGTTCCTTTCTGGGGACCACATAGAACTTCAGTGAGGTTAGTTCCTCTGTAACCACATTGACTTTCGTGTAGGTTGGTTCCTCTGGGACCACATAGAACTTCAGTGAGGTTAGTTCCTCTGTAACCACATTGACTTTCGTGTAGGTTGGTTCCTCTGGGACCACATAGAACTTCAGTGAGGTTAGTTCCTCTGTAACACATTTTCGACTTTTCGGGACCATAGAACTAGGTTGGTTCCTCTAACCACATTGACTTTCGTGTAGGTTGGTTCATAGAACTTCAGTGAGGTTAGTTCCTCTGTAACCACATTGACTATTCGGGGAGGTTGGTTCCTCTGGGACCACATAGAATTTTTAGTTCCTCTGTAACCACATTGACTTTCATAGTTTGGTTCTCTGGGACCACATAGAACTTCAGTGAGGTTGGTTCCTCTGTAACCACATTGACTTTCGTGTAGGTTGGTTCCCCAAATCACATAGAAACTTCAGTGAGGTTGGTTCCTCTGTAACCACATTTCTGTAGGTTGGTTCCTCTGGGACCACATAGAACATGAGAACCTCTCAGTTGAGGTTTGTCTGAAACTGTAACCACATTGACTTTCGTGTAGTTGGTTCCTCTGGGACCACATAGAACTTCAGTGAGGTTAGTTCCTCTGTAACCACATTGACTTTCGTGTAGGTTGGTTCCTCTGGGAACACATAGAACTTGTAACCAGTGAGTGTTGGTTCCTCTGGGACCACATAAACTTCAGTGATTGACATTGACTTTCGTGTAGGTTGGTTCCTCTGGGACCACATAGAACTTCAGTGAGGTTAGTTTCCTCTGTAACCATTGACTTTCGTGTAGGTTGGTTCCTCTGGGAACTTCAGTGGGTTAGTTCCTCTGTAACCACTGACTTTCGTGTAGGTTGGTTCCTCTGGGACACATAGAACTTCAGTGAGGTTAGTTCCTCTGTAACCACATTGACTTTCGTGTGGGTTGGTTCCTCTGGGACCACATAGAACTTCAGTGAGGTTAGTTCCTCTGTAACCACATTGACATTCGGGGGTTGGTTCCTCTTGGACCACAAAGAACTTCAGTGAGGTTAGTTCCTCCTCTGTAACCACATTGGAGCAAACCACATAGAACTTCAGTGAGGTTAGTTCCTCTGTAAATCACATTGACTTTCGTGTGGGTTGGTTCCTCTGGGACCACATAGAACTTCAGTGAGGTTAGTTCCTCTGTAACCATTGACTTTCGTGTAGGTTGTTTCTCTGGGACCACATAGAACTCAGTCAGTGGGAGTTGGATTTCATCTGTAACCGTAGGTTGGTTCCTGGGACCACATAGAACTTCAGTGAGGTTAGTTCCTCTGTAACCACATTGACTTTTCGTGTAGGTTGGTTCCTCTGGGACCACATAGAACTTTAGTGAGGTTAGTTCCTCTGTAAGCACATTGACATTCGGGGAGGTTGGTTCCTCTCTAAACCACATAGAACTTCAGTGAGGTTAGTTCCTCTGTAACCACATTGACTTTCGTGTAGGTTGGTTCCTCTGGGACCACATAGAACTTCAGTGAGGTTAGTTCCTCTGTAACCACATTGACTTTCGGGGAGGTTGGTTCCTCTTGGACCACAAAGAATTTCAGTGAGGTTAGTTCCTCTGTAACCATTGACAATCACATAGAACTTCAGTGAGGTTAGTTACTCTGTAACCACATTGACTTTCGTGTGGGTTGGTTCCTCTGGGACCACATAGAACTAGTGAAAGGTTAGTTCCTCTGTAACCACATTGACATTCGGGTAGGTTGGTTCCTCTGGGGACCATAGAATTTCAGTGAGGTTAGTTCCTCTGTAACCACATTGACTTTCGGGGAGGGTTGGTTCCTCTGGGACCACATAGAACTTCAGTGAGGTTAGTTCTCTGTAACCACATTGACATTCGGGGAGGTTGGTTCCTCTGGGACCACATAGAACTTCAGTGAGGTTAGTTCCTCTGTAACCACATTGACATTCGGTGTAGGTTGGTTCCTCTGGGACCACATAGAACTTCAGTGAGGTTAGTTCCCTGTAACCACATTGTAAGCACATTGACATTCGGGGAGGTTGGTTCCTCTGAGGTTGGTTCCTCTGGGGACCACATAGAACTTCAGTGAGGTTAGTTCCTCTGTAACCACATTGACATTCGTGTGGGTTGGTTCCTCTGGGACCACATAGAATTTCAGTGAGGTTAGTTCCTCTGGGGAACTACATTGACATTCGTGTAGGTTGTCCTCTGGGGGACCACATAGAACTTCAGTGAGGTTAGTTCCTCTGGAAAATCATTGACATTCTTTCGGAGGTTGGTTCCTCTGGGATACATAGAACTTCAGTGGGGAAAATTGGTTCCTCTTGAATTTCAGTGAGGTTAGTCTTCGGGGAATGTAACTTCAGTGAGGTTGGTTCCTCTGACATTCGTTCGTAGGTTGGTTCCTCTTGGACCCTTAAGAACTTCAGTGAGGTTAGTTCCTCTGTAACCACATAGAACTGACTTTCGGGAGGTTGGTTCATCTGGGACACATAGAACTTCAGTGAGGTTAGTTCCTCTGTAAATCCACATTGATTTTCGTGTAGGTTGGTTCCTCTGGGACCATTATAGAATTTCAGTGAGGTTAGTTCCTCTGTAAGCATTACTGACATTCGGGGAGGTTGGTTCCTCTGGGGACCACAAAGAACTTCAGTGAGGTTAGTTCCTCTGTAACCACATTGACATTCGTGTAGGCTGGTTCCTCTGGGACCACATAGAATTTCAGTGAGGTTAGTTCCTCTGTAACCACATTGACTTTCGTGTAGGTTGGTTCATCTGGGACCACATAGAACTTCAGTGAGGTTAGTTCCTCTGTAAGCACATTGACATTCGGGGAGGTTGGTTCCTCTGGGACCACATAGAACTTCAGTGAGGTTAGTTCCTCTGTAAGCACATTGACATTCGTGTAGGTTGTTCATCTGGGACCACATAGAACTTCAGTGAGGTTAGTTCCTCTGTAACCACATTGACTTTCGGGAGGTTGGTTTCCTCTTGGACCACATAGATCTTCAGTGGTTAGTTCCTCTGTAAATCACATTGACTTTCGTGTAGGTTGGTTCCTCTGGGACCACATAGAACTTCAGTGAGTTGGTTCCTCTGTAACCACATTGACTTTCATTCGTGGGAGGTTGGTTCCTCTGGGACCACATAGAACTTCAGTGAGATGTTAGTTCCTCTTGGACCAAACCACATTGACTTCCTCTGTTTCGTAGGTTGGGTTCCTCTGGGACCATAGAACTTCAGTGAGGTTAGTTCCTCTGTAAACTACATTGAGGGGGGAGGTTGGTTCCTCTGGGACCACAAAGAATTCAGAGGTTAGTTCCTCTGTAAATCACATTGGACTTTCGGGAGGTTGGTTCCTCTGGGGACCACATAGAACTTCAGTGAGGTTAGTTCCTCTGTAACCACATTGACTTTCGTGTAGGTTGGTTCCTCTGGGACCACATAGAACTTCAGTGAGGTTAGTTCCTCTGTAACCACATTGACATTGTGTAGGTTGGTTCCTCCTGGGTTATAGAACTTCAGTGAGGTTAGTTCCTCTGGGAACATAGAACCTTCCAGGTTAGTTTCCTGTAACATAGAACCCTTCAGTGAGGCTAGTTCCTCTGTAACCACATTGACTTTCGTGTAGGTTGGTTCCTCTGGGACCACATAGAACTTCAGTGAGGTTTAGTTCCTCTGTAACCATTGACATTCGTGGGAGTTGGTTCCTCTGGGACCACATAGAACTTCAGTGAGGTTAGTTCCTCTGTAACCACATTGACTTTCGTGTAGGTTGTTCCTCTGGGACCACATAGAACTTCAGTGAGGTTAGTTCCTCTGTAACCACATTGACTTTCGGGGAGGTTGGTTCCTCTGGGACCACATAGAACTTCAGTGAGGTTAGTTCCTCTGTAACCACATTGACTTTCGTGTAGGTTGGTTCCTCTGGGACCACATAGAACTTCAGTGAGGTTAGTTCCTCTGTAACCATTGACTTTCGTGGAGGTTGGTTCCTCTGGGACCACATAGAACTTTAGTGAGTTAGTTCTGTAACCACATTGACTTTCGTGTAGGTTGGTTCCTCTGGGACCACATAGAATTTTTGTGAGGTTAGTTCCTCTGTAACCACATTGACTTTCGTGTAGGTTGGTTCCTCTGGGACCACATAGAATTTCAGTGAGGTTAGTTCCTCTGTAACCACATTGACTTTCGTGTAGGTTGGTTCCTCTGGGGACCACATAGAACTTCAGTGAGGTTAGTTCCTCTGTAACCACAGGTTGGTTCCTCTGGGACCAGAACTTCCTGGGGAGGTTGGTTCATTGGGACCACATAGAACTTCAGTGAGGTTAGTTCCTCTGTAACCACATTGACTTTCGTGTAGGTTGGTTCCTCTGGGACCACATAGAACTTCAGTGAGGTTAGTTCCTCTGTAACCACATTGACTTTCGTGTAGGTTGGTTCCTCTGGGACCACATAGAACTTCAGTGAGGTTAGTTCCTCTGTAACCACATTGATTTCGTGTAGGTTGGTTCCTCCTGGGACCATTACAGAACTTCAGTGAGGTTAGTTTCTCTGTAACCACATTGACTTTCGTGTAGGTTGGTTTCCTCTGGGACCACATAGAACTTCTGATTTCTCGTGAGGTTAGTTCCTCTGTAACCACATTGACTTTCGTGTAGGTTGGTTCCTCTGGGACCACATAGAACTTCAGTGAGGTTAGTTCCCACATCTTTCGTGTAGGTTGGTTCCTCTGGGGACCACATAGAACTTCAGTGACATTGTAACTGGGGAGGTTGGTTCCTCTTGGACCACATAGATTTCAGTGAGGTTAGTTCCTCTGTAACCACATTGACTTTCGTGTAGGTTGGTTCATCTGGGACCACATAGAACTTCAGTGTAGGTTACTCTGTAAATCCACATTGACTTTCGTGTGGGTTGGTTTCCTCTAGGACCACATAGAACTTCAGTGAGGTTAGTTCCTCTGTAACCACATTGACTTTCGTGGAGGTTGGTTCCTCTTGGGACCTTCAGTGAAGAATTTCCTCAGTGACTATTACTGTTGGAGTTCCTCTGGGGATAACCACATTGAGGTTTTCGTGTAGGTTGGGTTCATCTGGGGACCATAGAACTTCAGTGAAGTTAGTTACTCTGTAACCACATTGGTGTAGGTTGGTTCCTCTGGGACCACATAGAACTTCAGTGAGGTTAGTTCTTCTGTAACCACATTGACTTTCGTGTAGGTTGGTTTTCTGGGACCACATAGAACTTCAGTGAGGTTAGTTCCTCTGTAACCACATTGACTTTCGTGTAGGTTGGTTCCTCTGGGACCACATAGAACTTCAGTGAGGTTAGTTCCTCTGTAACCACATTGACATTCGTGTAGGTTGGTTCCTCTGGAATTTATAGAACTTCAGTGAGGTTGGTTCTCCTACCACATTGCTTTCGTGTGGTTGCTGGTTTCCTCTGGGATCAGAACTTCAGTGAGGTTAGTTCCTCTGTAACCACATTGACTTTCGTGTAGGTTGGTTCATCTGGGACCACATAGAATTTCCAGTGAGGTTAGTTACTCTGTAACCACATTGATAGGTTGGTTCTCTGGGACCCGAACACATATAGGTTGACTTTCGTGAGGTTAGTTTCTCTGAACTTCAGTGAGGTTAGTTCCTCTGATTGTTTCGTGTAGGTTGGTTCTCTGGGACCACATAGAACTTCAGTGAGGGTTAGTTCCTCTGACCACATTGGAATTTCGTGTAGGTTGGTTCCTCTGGGACCAAATGTGGAACTTCAGTGAGGTTGGTTCCTCTGTAACCACATTGACTTTCGTGTAGGTTGGTTCCTCTGGGACCACATAGAACTTCAGTGAGGTTAGTTCCTCTGTAACCACATTGACTTTCGTGGGGTTGGTTCATTGGTTCCATCCAGGGTTAATCTGTAACCAGAACTTCAGTGGAGGTTAGTTCCTCTGGGACCACATAAATCCTCTCGCCACATTGGACTTTCGTGTAGGTTGGTTCCTCTGGGACCACATAGAACTTCCTTCAGTGAGGGTTAGTTCCTCTGCCTAACTTTCATTGGGTTTCCTCTGGGACCACATAGGTTTGGTTCCTCTGTAACCATGACTTTCGTGTAGGTTGGTTCCTCTGGACCAAAGAATTTCAGTGAGGTTAGTTCCTCTGTAACCACATTGACTTTCGTGTAGGTTGGTTTTCCTCTGGGACCACACATAGAACTTCAGTGAGGTTAGTTCCTCTGTAACCACATTGACTTTCGTGTAGGTTGGTTCATCTGGGACCACATAGAACTTCAGTGAAGTTAGTTGTACTCTGTAACCACTTTCATTGACCACATAGAACTTCAGTGTAGGTTGGTTCCTCTGTAACACGACAACCGTGTAGGTTGGTTCATCTGGGACATAGAACTTCAGTGAAGTTAGTTCCTCTGTAATCATTTGACTTTCGTGTAGGTTGGTTCCTCTGGGACCACATAGAACTTCAGTGAGGTTGGTTCTCCTGTAACCCACATTGACTTTCGTGTAGGTTGGTTCCTCCTGGGACCACAAAGAATTTCAGTGAGGTTAGTTCCTCTGTAACCACATTGACTTTCGTAGGTTGGTTTTCCTCTGGGACCATAAACTTCAGTGAGTTAGTTCCTCTGTAACCACATTGACTTTCGTGTAGGTTGGTTCCTCTTGGAACACAAAGAATTTCAGTGAGGTTAGTTCCTCTTAACCTTTTGATGTAGGTTGGTTCCTCTTGGACCAAATCAAAAAGAACTTCAGTGAGGTTAGTTCCTCTGTAACCACATTGACTTTCGTGTAGGTTGGTTCCTCTGGGACCACATAGAACTTCAGTGAGGGTTAGTTCCTCTGTAACCACTCCTTGACTTTCGTGGAGGTTGGTTCTCTGGGGACCACATAGAACTTCAGTGATGTTAGTTCCTCTGTAACCACACTTTCGTGTAGGTTGGTTTCCTCTGGGACGAACTTCAGTGAGGTGGTTCCTCTGTAACCACATTGACTTTCGTGTAGGTTCCATCTGGGACCACATAGAACTTCCAGTGAGGTTAGTTCTCTAACCACATTGACTTTCGTGTAGGTTGGTTCCTCTAGGACCACATAGAACTTCAGTGAGGTTGGTTCCTCTGTAACCACATTGAATTTCGTGTAGGTTAGTTTCTCTGGACCACATAGAACTTCAGTGAGGTTAGTTTCCTCTGTAACCACATTGACTTTCGTGTAGGTTGGTTCCTCTGGGACCACATAGAACTTCAGTGAGGTTTAGTTCTCTGTAACCACATTGAGTGTAGGTTGGTTCCTCTGGGACCCACATAGAACTTCAGTGAGGTTAGTTCCTCTGTAACCATGACTTTCGAGGTTGGTTCACTGGGACCACATAGAACTTCAGTGAGGTTAGTTCCTCTGTAACCACATTGATTTTCGTGTAGGTTGGTTCATCTGGGATACACATAGAACTTCAGTGAGAACTTCAGTGACTTTCGTGTTTGGTTCTCCTGGGAACCAACTCAATGGTGACTTTAACCATTGACTTTTGTGCTGGTTCATCTGGGATTCACATAGAACTTCACAGTGGTTGGTTCCTCTGTAACCACATTGACTTTCCATTGTAGAGGTTCCTCTGGGACCACATAGAACTTCAGTGAGGTTAGTTCCTCTGTAACCACATTGACTTTCGTGTAGGTTGGTTCCTCTGGGACCACATAGAACTTCAGTGGTTAGGTTCCTCTGTAACCACATTGACTTTCATGTAGGTTGGTTCATCTGGGACCACATAGAACTTCAGTGAGGTTGAAGTTCCTCTGTAAGCACATTGACTTTCGTGTGATTTGGTTCCTCTGGGACCACATAGAACTTCAGTGAAGTTGAACCTCTGTAAATCCACATTGACTTTCGTGTAGGTTGGTTCCTCTGGGACCATAGAACTTCAGTGAGTTAGTTCCTCTGTAACCACATTTCGTGTAGGTTGGTTCATCTGGAGTGAACTTCCAGGAGATTAGGTTCCTCTGTACCACATAGAACTTGGTTCAGGACCACAGAGTTAATTGGTTCCTCTTAAACCACATTGATTTTTCGATGTAGGTTAGTTTTCCTCTGGGACCACAAGGGGCAGAACTTCAGTGAGGTTACTTTCCGTGGCAAATTTATTTCCTGGGACCACCTTTCAGTGTAGGTTGGTTCCTCTGACCACATAGAACTTTCAGTGAGGTTGGTTCCTCTGGGACCACATTGACCTCTATAACCATTGTAGGTTGGTTCATCTTGGACCCACATAGAATTTCACAGTGAAGTTAGTTCCTCTGTAACCACATTGACTTCGTGTAGGTTGGTTCCTCTGGGACCACATAGAACTTCAGTGAGGTTAGTTCCTCTGTTCCTTCATTGACTTTCGTAGGTTGGTTTCTCCTGGGACCACATAGAACTTCAGTGAGGTTAGTTCCTCTGTAAACACATTGACTTTCGTGTGGGGCTGGTTCCTTGGGACCACATAGAACTTCAGTGAGGTTAGTTCCTCTGTAACCACATTGACTTTCGTGTAGGTTGGTTCCTCTGGGACCCCCCTTAGAACTTCAGTGAGGTTAGTTCCTCTGTAACCATTGACTTTCAGGTAGGTTGGTTCCTCTGGGACCACATAGAACTTCAGTGAGGTTAGTTCCTCTGTAACCACATTGACTTTCGTGTAGGTTGGTTCATCTGGGACCACATAGAACTTCAGTGAAGTTAGTTCCTCTGTAACCACATTGACTTTCGTGTAGGTTGGTTCCTCTGAACCACATAGAACTTCAGTGAAGTTAGTTCCTCTGTAACCATTTTTTCAACCACATAGAACTTCAGTAGGTTAGTTCCTCTGGGACCACATACAGTGAGGTTGGTTCTTCCAGAACTTCAGTGAGGTTAGTTCCTCTGTAACCACATTGACTTTCGTGTAGGTTGGTTAAACTGGGACCACATAGAACTTCCAGAGGTTAGTTCCTCTGTAACCACACATTTCGTGTAGGTTGGTTCCTCTGGGGACCACATAGAACTTCAGTGAGGTTGGTTCCTCTGTAACCACATTGACTTTCGTGTAGTTGTTCCTCTGGGACCACATAGAACTTCAGTGAGGTTGGTTCCTGTAAGCACATTGACTTTCGTGTAGGTTGGTTCATCTGGGACCACATAGAACTTCAGTGAAGTTAGTTCCTCTGTAAATCCACATTGATTTTCGTGTAGGTTGGTTCCTCTGGGACCATAGAACTTCAGTGAGGTTAGTCACCTTCCACCATTGACTTTCTGTAGGTTGGTTTCATCTGGGACCACATAGAACTTCAGTGGGTTAGTTCCTCTGTAACACATTGACTTTCGTGTAGGTTGGTTCCTCTGGGACCCCATAGAACTCAGTGAGGGTTAGTTCCTCTCTAACCACATTGACTTTCGTAGGTTGGTTCCTCTGGGACCCACAAAGAATTTCAGTGAGGTTAGTTCCCTCTGTAACCATTGACTTTCTCGTGTGGTTGGTTCCTCTGGGACCACATAGAACTTCAGTGAGGTTAGTTTCCTCTGTAACCACATTGACTTTCATCGTAGGTTGGTTCGCTCTGGGGACCACATAGAACTTCAGTGAAGGTTAGTTGCTCTGTAACCACATTGACTTTCGTGTAGGTTGGTTCCTCTTGGACCACAAAGAACTTCAGTGAGGTTAGTTACTCTCTAAACCACATTGGACTTTCGTGTAGGTTGGTTTCCTCTGGGACCACATAGAACTTCAGTGAGGTTAGTTCCTCTGTAACCACATTGACTTTCGTGTAGGTTGGTTCCTCTGGGACCACATAGAACCTCAGTGAGGTTAGTTCCTCTGTAACCATTGACTTTCGTGTAGGTTGGTTCCTCTGGGACACATAGAACTTCAGTGAGGTTAGTTCCTCTGAAACCACATTGACTTTCGTGTAGGTTGGTTCATCTGGGACCACATAGAACTTCAGTGAAGTTAGTTCCTCCTGTAACCACATTGACTTTCGTGTAGGTTGGTTCCTCTGGGGAATCACATAGAACTTCAGTGAGGTTAGTCTGTAACCATTGTTTTCGTGTAGGTTGGTTCCTCTGGGACCATAGAACTTCAGTGAGTTGATTCCTCTGTAACCACATTGACTTTCGTGTAGGTTGGTTCCTCTGGGACCACATAGAACTTCAGTGAGGTTAGTTCTCTCTGTAACCACATTGACTTTCGTGTAGTTGGTTTCCTGGGACCACATAGAACTTCAGTGAGGTTAGTTCCTCTGTAACCATTATCATTGACTTTCGTGTAGGTTGGTTCCTCTGGGACCACATAGAACTAGTAGGTTAGTTCCTCTGAAATTACATTGACTTTCATTAAGTTAGAACTTCAGTGTTAGTTTCTCTGTAACCACATTGACTTTCGTGTAGGTTGGTTCATCTGGGACCACATAGAACTTCAGTGAAGATTAGTTATTAACCCATTACGGGGTAGGTTGGTTCCTCTGGGACCACATAGAACTTCAGTGAGGTTAGTTGCTCTCTAACCATTGAACCACATAGAACTTCAGTGAGGTTAGTTCCTCTGTAACCACATTGACTTTCGTGTAGGTTGGTTCCTCTGGGACCACATAGAACTTCAGTGAGGTTAGTGGGTTGGTTTCCTCTGGATCACATAGAACTTCCAGTGAGTTGGTTCCTCTATATGACTTTCGTGTGGGTTGGTTCCTCTGGGACCACATAGAACTTCAGTGAGGTTAGTTTCCTCTGTAAGCACATTGACTTTCGTGTAGGTTGGTTCATCTGGGACCACATAGAACTTCCAGTGAAGTTAGTTACTCTGTGCAAACCACATTGACTTTCGTGAGTTGGTTCCTCTGGGACCATAGAACTTCAGTGAGGTTAGTTCCTCTGTAAACCACATTGACTTTCGTGTAGGTTGTCCTCTGGGACCACATAGAACTTCAGTGAAGTTAGTTACTCTGGGACTGACTTTTCGTGTAGGTTGGTTCCTCTGGGACCCACATAGAACTTCAGTGAGGCTAACCGTGTAACCACATTGACTTTTTCAGGTTGGTTCCTCTTATGTACATTGATTTCAGGGGGTTGGTTCCTCTGGGACCACATTGACTTTCGTGACTTTTCTGGTTGGTTCCTCTGGGACCATAGAACTTCAGTGAGTTAGTTCCTCTGTAACCACATTGACTTTCGTGTAGGTTGTCTTCTTGGACCACAAAAGAATTTTCAGTGAGGTTAGTTCCTTCCAACCATTGACTTTCGTGTAGGTTGGTTCCTCTTGGACCACATAGAATTTCAGGAGGTTAGTTCCTCTGTAACCATTGACTTTCGTGTGGGTTGGTTCCTCTGGGACCACATAGAACTTCAGTGAGGTTAGTTCCTCTGTAACCACATTGACTTTTTCGTGTAGGTTGGTTCCTCTGGGACCACATAGAACTTCAGTGAGGTTGTTCTCTTCCTCTTTCTCGTAACCTCTGGGACCATTGATTCAGTGAGGTTAGTTCCTCTGTAACCACGTAGGAGTTGGTTCCTCTTGGACCACATAGAATTTCAGTGAGGTTAGTTTCACTCTGTAACCATTACTGACTTTCGTAGGTTGGTTTCCTCTAGGACCACATAGAACTTCAGTGAGGTTAGTTTCCTGTAACCACATTGACTTTCGGGGAGGTTGGTTCCTCCTGACCACAAAGAATTTCAGTGAGGTTACTTTCCCTCTTAGCTAATTTTCAGTGAGTTGGTTCCTCTCGTTGACTTTCGGTTGTTGGTTCCTCTGGGACCACATAGAACTTCAGTGAGGTTAGTTCCTCTGTAACCACATTGACTTTCGTGTAGGTTGGTTCTCTGGGACCACATAGAACTTCAGTGAGTTAGTTCCTCTGTAACCACATTGACTTTCGTGGAGGTTGGTTCCTCTGGGACCACATAGAACTTCAGTGAGGTTAGTTCCTCTGTAACCACATTGACTTTCGTGTGGGTTAGTTTCCTCTGGGACCACATAGAACTTCGGTAGTTGGATTCCTGTAACCAGTGAGGTTAGTTCCTCTGGGACCATAAACTTCAGTGAGGTTAGTTCCTCTATAACCACAATGACTTTCGTGTAGGTTGGTTTCCTCTTGGACCATAGAAATTTCAGTGAGGTTAGTTCCTAACCACATTGATTTTCGTGTAGGTTGGTTCCTCTGGGACCCACCTTAGAATTTCAGTGAGGTTAGTTCCTCTGTAACCACATTGACTTTCGTAGGTTGGTTCCTGGGGACCACATAGAACTGATGAGGTTAGTTCCTCTGTAACCATTGACTTTCGACCTTTCCACAAAGAATTTCAGTGAGGTTGGTTTCCTCTGGGACCACATTGACTTTCGTGTAGGTTGGTTCTCTTGGACCACATAGAACTTCCAGTGAGTTAGTTCCTCTGTAACCACATTGACTTTCGTGGGTTGGTTCCTCTGGGACCACATAGAACTTCAGTGAGGTTAGTTCCTCTGTAACCACATTGACTTTCGTGTAGGTTGGTTTCCTCTGGGGACCACATAGAACTTCAGTGAGGTTAGTTCCTCTGTAACCACATTGACTTTCGTGGAGGTTGGTTCTCTGGGACCAATTTCTCTGTAGTTGTTTTCCTTGGGTTGGTTCCTAGTGAGGTTGGATTTCCTCTGTAACCACATTGACTTTCGTGTGGGTTGGTTCCTCTGGGACCACATAGAACTTCAGTGAGGTTAGTTCCTGTAACCACATTGACTTTTTCGTGTAGGTTGGGTTCCTCTGGGACCACATAGAACTTCAGTGAGGTTAGTTCCTCTGTAACCACATTGACTTTCGGGGAGGTTGGTTCCTCTTGGACCACAAAAACTTCACAGAAGTTAGTTACTCTGTAACCACATTGACTTTCGTGTAGGTTGGTTCCTCTTGGACCACATAGAACTTCAGTGAAGTTCCCCACATTGACTTTCGTATGGGTTTGGTTCCTCTGGGGACCATAGAACTTCAGTGAGGTTAGTTCCTCTGTAAAGCACATTACTTTTCGTGAGGTTGGTTCTCCGGGACCATAGAACTTCAGTGAGGTTAGTTCCTCTGTAAATTGACTTTCGGAGGATTTGGTTCCTCTTGGACCACAAGTTTCAGGTTAGTTTCCTCTGTACAACGGCTGTGTATCTGAACACATAGAACTTCAGTGAGTGTTAGTTCCTCTGTAACCCACATTGACTTTCGTGTAGGTTGGTTCCTCTGGGACCACATAGAACTTCAGTGGTGTTAGTTCCTCTGTAACCACATTGACTTTCGTGTAGTTGGTTCATCTGGGGACCACATATAGAACTTCAGTGAAGTTAGTTCCTCTGTAACCACATTGACTTTCGTGTAGGTTGGTTCCTCTGACCACATAGAACTTCAGTGAGGTTAGTTCCTCTGTAACCACATTGACTTTCGTGTAGGTTGGTTCCTCTGGGACCACAGAACTTCAGTGAGGTTAGTTCCTCTGTAACCACATTGACTTTCGTGTAGGTTGGTTCCTCTTGGGACACAAAAGAATTTCAGTGAGTTAGTTCCTCTGTAACCACATTGACTTTCGTAGGTTGGTTCCTCTGGGACCACATAGAACTTCAGTGAGGTTAGTTCCTCTGTAACCATGGTAGGTTCCTCTGGGACCACATTTCAGTAGGTTGGTTCCTCTTAACCACATTGACTTTCAGTGTAGGTTAGTTCCTCTGGGACCACATAGAATAGGTTGGTTCATCTGGGACCACATAGAACTTCAGTGAAGTTAGTTCCTCTGTAACCACATTGACTTTCGTGTAGGTTGGTTCCTCTGGGGACCACATTAGAACTTCAGTGAAGTTAGTTCCTCTAACCACATTGACTTTCGTGTGAGTTTGGTTCCTCTGGGACCATAGAACTTCAGTGAGGTTGGTTCCTCCTGTAACCCATTGACTTTCGTGTAGGTTGGTTCCTCTGGGACCACATAGAACTTCAGTGAGGTTATTCCTCTGTAACCACATTGACTTTCGTGTAGGTTGGTTCATCTGGGACCACATAGAACTTCAGTGAAGTTAGTTGCTCTGAACCACATTGACTTTCGTGTAGGTTGGTTCCTCTGGGACCACATAGAAATTCAGTGAGGTTGGTTCCTCTGTAAACACATTGATTTCTTCGCACATCTGGGGACCAAATAGAACTTCAGTGAAGTTAGTTCCTCTGTAACCACATTGATTTTCGTGTAGGTTGGTTCCTCTGGGACCACATAGAACTTCAGTGAGGTTAGTTCCTCTGTAACCACATTGACTTTCCGTGTAGGTTGTTCATCTGGGACCACATAGAACTTTCAGTGAGGTTAGTAATCACATCTGGGACCACATTGAAATTTTCGTGTAGGTTGGTTCATCTGGGACCACAGAATTTCAGTGAAGTTGGTGCTCTGTAACCACATTGACTTTCGGGGAGGTTGGTTCCTCTGGGGACCACATAGAACTTCAGTGAGGTTAGTTCCTCTGTAACCATTGACTTTCGTGTAGGTTGGTTCCTCTGGGACCACACATAGAATTTCAGTGAGGTTAGTTCCTCTGTAACCACATTGACTTTCGTGTAGGTTGATTCCTCTTGGACCACAAAGAACTTCAGTGAGGTTGGTTCCTCTGTAACCACATTGTTTCTTCCTCTGGGACCATAAACTGATTTAGATTTCCTCTGTAACCACATTGACTTTCGTGTAGGTTGGTTTCCTCCTGGGACCACACCAGGAACTTCAGTGAGGTTAGTTCCTCTGTAACCATATTGACTTTCGTGTAGGTTGGTTCCTCTGGGACCACATAGAACTTCAGTGAAAGTTGGTTACTCTGTAACCACGATGACTTTCCCGTGTAGGTTGGTTTCCTCTGGGACCACATAGAACCACATTGAGTGTGGTTAGTTCCTCTGGGACCACATAGAACAGTGAGTTAGTTCCTCTGCACCTTGACTTTCGTAGGTTGGTTCCTCTGGGATCACATAGAACTTCAGTGAGGTTAGTTCCTCTTGTAACCACATTGACTTTCGTGGAGGTTGGTTCCTCTGGGACCACAAAGAACTTCAGTGAGGTTAGGTTCCTCTGTAACCACATTGACTTTCGTGTAGGTTGGTTCCTCTGGGAACATAGAACTTCAGTGAGGTTGGTTCCTCTGTAACCACATTGACTTTCGTGTAGGTTGGTTCCTCTGGGAACATAGAACTTCAGTGAGGTTAGTTCCTCTGTAACCACATTGACTTTCGGGGAGGTTGGTTCCTCTTGGACCACATAGAATTTTCAGTGAGGTTAGTTTCCTCTGTAACCACATTGACTTTCGTGTAGGTTGGTTCCTCTGGGACCACATAGAACTTCAGTGAGGTTAGTTCCTCCAAACCACATTGACTTTCAGGTAGGTTGGTTCCTCTTGGACCACAAATAGAACTTCAGTGAGGTTAGTTCCTCTGTAACCACATTGACTTTCGTGTGGGTTGGTTCCTCTGGGAACAATAGGTTCCTCTCAGTGGGAGGACCTCTTGGACCACAAAAGAATTTCAGTAGAACATTGACTTTCGTGTAGGTTGGTTTTCCTCTAGGACCACATAGAACTTCAGTGAGGTTAGTTCCTCTGTAACCACATTGACTTTCGTTGGTTCCTCTGGGAGGTTGGTTCCTCTGGGGAAACATAGAACTTCAGTGAGGTTAGTTCCTCTGTAACCACATTGACTTTCGTGTAGGTTGGTTCCTCTTGGACCAATAGCACTTTCAGTGAGGTTAGTTCCTCTGTAACCACATTGACTTTTCGTGTAGGTTGGTTCCTCTGGGACCATTATAGAATTTCAGTGAGGTTAGTTCCTCTGTAACCACATTGACTTTCGTGTAGGTTGGTTCCTCTGGGACCACATAGAACTTCAGTGAGGTTAGTTCCTCTGTAACCACATTGACTTTCGGGGAGGTTGGTTCCTCTTGGACCACAAAGAATTTCAGTGAGGTTAGTTCCTCTGTAACCACATTGACTTTCGTGTAGGTTGGTTCCTCTGGGACCACATAGAACTCCGTAAGAAAAAACCACATTGATTTTCGTGTAGGTTGGTTCCTCTGGGACCACATAGAAATTCAGTGAGGGGAGGTTAGTTCTTGGACCAAAACCACATTGGTTCCTCTACTTTTTCGTGTATTGGTTCCTCTTGGACCACATAGAACTTCAGTGAGGTTGGTTCCTCTTGTAACCACATTGACTTTCGGAGGTTGGTTCCTCTGGGACCACATAGAACTTCAGTGGGTTAGTTCCTTCAGAAATAGAACTTCAGTGAGTAACCACATTGACTTTGGTTCCTTCCTCTGGGACCACATAGAATTTCAGTGAGGTTAGTTCCTCTGTAAGCACACATTGACTTTCGTGGGAGGTTGGTTCCTCTTGGACCACAAAGAACTTCAGTGAGGTTAGTTCCTCTGTAACCACATTGATTTTCGTGTAGGTTGTTTCCTCTGGGATCACATAGAACTTCAGTGAGGTTGGATTTCCTCTGTAACCACATTGACTTTCACGGAGGTTGGTTCCTCTTGGACCAAAGAATTTCAGTGAGGTTAGTTCCTCTGTAACCATTGACTTTCGTGTAGGTTGGTTCCTCTTGGACTAAAGAATTTCAGTGAGGTTAGTTCCTCTGTAACCACATTGGACTTTTCATGTAGGTTGGTTCTTCTGGGGACCACATAGAACTTCAGTGAGTTGTTCCTCTGTAACCACATTGACTTTCAGGAGGTTGGTTTTCCTCTTGGACCACATAGAATTTCAGTGAGTTAGTTCCTCTGTAATAACCACATTGACTTTCGTGGAGGTTGGTTCCTCTTGGACCACAAAGAATTTCAGTGAGTTGGTTCCTCTGTAACCACATTGACTTTCGTGTGGTTGGTTCTTCTTGGAACACAAAGAATTTCAGTGAGGTTAGTTCCTCTGTAACCAATATTTCTTGTGTAGGTTGGTTTCCTCTGGGACCACATAGAACTTCAGTAGGTTAGTTCCTCTACTCGTGTAGGTTGGTTCCTCCTGACCACATAAACTTCAGTGAGTTGGTTCCTCTAAATCATTACTTGACTTTCGTGTGTAGGTTGGTTCCTCTGGGACCACATAGAACCTTCAGTGAGGTTAGTTCCTCCTGTAAATCGGTGACTTTCGTGTAGGTTGGTTCCTCTTGGACCACAAAGAATTTCAGTGAGTTAGTTACTGTAACCACATTGACTTTCGTGTAGGTTGGTTCCTCTGGGACACAAAGAACTTCAGTGAGGTTAGTTTCCTCTGTAAATCTTTCGTGATTGGTTCCTCTGGACCACATAGAACTTCAGTGAGGTTAGTTCCTCTAACCACATTGTTTCGGTTTGGTTCCTCTGGGACCACATAGAACTTCAGGAGTGTTAGTTCCTCTGTAACCACATTGACTTTCGTAGGTTGGTTCCTCTAAATCACATAGAACTTCAGTGAAGTTAGTTCCTCTGCAACCACATTGACTTCGTGCAGGTTGGTTCCTCTGGGGACCACATAGAACTTCAGTGAGGTTAGTTCCTCTGTAAATCAATATTGACTTCTCGTGTAGGTTGTTCCTCTGGGACCACATAGAACTTCAGTGGAGAGAATTCCTCTGTAACCACATTGACTTTCGTGTAGGTTGGTTCCTCTGGGACCATAGAATTCAGTGAGTCGGTTCCTCTGTAACCACACTGACTTTCGTGTAGGTTGGTTCCTCCAACCACATAGAACTTCAGGAGGTTAGTTCTTCTGTAACCACAATGACATTCGGGTAGGTTGGTTCCTCTGGGACCACATAGAACTTCAGTGAGGTTGGTTCCTCCGTAACCACATTGACTTTCGTGTAGGTTGGTTCCTCTGGGACCACATAGAACTTTCAGTGAAGTTAGTTACCTCTGGGGACCACATAGAACTTCAGTCAGGTTAGTTCCTCTGTAAACACATTGACTTTTCGGGGAGGTTGGTTCCTGGGGACCACATAGAACTTCAGTGAGGTTAACCTCTGTAACCACATTGAATTCGTCATGTGCTGGTTAGTTCCTCTTGGGGACCACATAGAACTTCAAAGTGAGGTTAGTTCTCAGACCACATTGACTTTCGTAGATTGGTTTCCCTGGGAACACATAGAATTTTCAGTGAAGGTTGGTAGGTTGGTTCCTCTGGGACCACATTGCAGGTTAGTTCGTGTGGGTTGGTTCTTCTGGGGACCACATAGAACTTCAGTGAGGCTGGTTCCTCCAAACTGCATTGACTTCTCGTAGGTTGGTTCCTTAACCACATAGAAATCTTCAGTGAGGTTGTTTGCCTCTGTAACCACATTGACTTTCGTGTGGGTTGGTTCCTCTGGGACCACATAGAAATTTGTGAGGTTGGTTCCCTGTAAACATTGAATTCTCAGTGAGGTTGGTTCCCTGGGACCATTAGAACTTCAGTGTGGCTAGTTCCTCTTCTGGGAGGTTGGTTCCACATAGAACTTCAGTGAAGTTAAGCTACTCTGTAACCACATTGACTTTCGTAGGTTGGTTCCTGGGGGACCACATAGAACTTCAGTGAGGTTAGTTCCCTCTGTGTAACCACACATTTTCATAGGTTGGTTCCTCTGGGACCACATAGAACTTCAGTGAGGTTAGTCTCTGAAACCACATTGACTTTCGTAGGTTGGTTCCCTCTGGGACCACACATAGAACTTCAGTGAGGTTGGTTCCCCGTAAACTGCATTGACTTTCGTAGGTTGTCTCCTCTGGGGACCACATTGAACTTCACAGTGAGGTTGGTTCTCTGTAACCACATTGACTTTCGTAGGTTGGTTCCTCTGGGGACCACATAGAACTTCAGTGAGGTTGGTCTCTGTAACCACATTGACTTTCGTGTAGGTTGCTGGTTCTTCTGTGTTCTGACTTTCAAGGTTAGCAGAAACATTAGGGAGGTTGTTCCTCTGAACCACACATAGAATTTCAGTGAGGTTTGACTTCGTGTAGGTTGGTCCTCTGGGACCACATACAGAACTTCAGTGTGAGGTTAGTTCCTCTGGGACCACATTGACTGGGAGGTTAGTTCCTCTGTAACCAAGATTTCAGACTTCCTCTGGGAGATTGGTTGGTCCTCTGGGACCACATAGAATTTCAATGAGGTTAGTTCTCTGTCCTTTCACATTGGACTTTCAGGGAGGTTGGTTCATCTGGGAGCATAGAATTTCAGTCAGGTTGGTTCCTCTGTAACCACATTGACTTTCGTGTGAGTTGGTTCCTCTGGGACCACAGAAACTCAGTGAGGTTGGTTCTCTAAATCCACATTGACTTGACATTCAGGAGGTTGGTTCCTCTGGGACACATAGAACTCCAATCGATTTGGTTCTCTGTAACCCATTGACTTTCGTGTAGGTTGGTTCTGGACTGCAGGCTGGTATTCACGGATTGGTTCACTCTGGCATTGACATTCGGGAGGTTGGTTCCTCCTGGGACCATAAATTTCAATGGTAGTCTCTGTAACCACAGTGACTTTCGTGTACGTTGGTTCATCAGGACCACATAGAACTTCAGTGAGGTTAGTTCCTCTGTAACATTGACATTCAGGGAGTTGTGGTTCATCCTGGGAGCACATATGGAATTTCAGTGAAAGTTGGATTCCTCTGTAACCATTTGACTTTCGTGTAGGTTGGTTTCCTCTGGGACCATAGGGGAATTCAGTGAGTTAGTTCCTCTGTAAGCACATTGACATTCGGGAGGTTGGTTTTCATCTGGGACCCACATAGAACTATTGAAGTTAGTTCACTCTGTAAGCTTACGTATTGACATTCAGGAGTTGGTTCCTCTGGGACCACATAGAACTTCAATTAGCAGTTGGTTCCTCTGTAGCTTGTTGACATTCAGGAGGTTGGTTCATCTGGGACCCATAGAACTTCAGTGAGGTTAGTTCCTCTGTAACCACATAGAATTATTGTTGACTTTCCTCTGTAGGTTGGTTCCTCTGGGACCACATAGAATTTCAGTGAGGTTAGTTCCTCTGTAAGCACATTGACATTTTCGTGTAGGTTGGTTCCTCTGGGACCACATAGAACTTCAGTGAGGTTAGCCTCTGTAAGCACATTGACATTCGGGGAGGTTGGTTCTCCCTGGGACCACATAGAATTTCAGTGAGGTTAGTTCCTCTGTAACCACATTGACTTTCGTGTAGGTTGGTTCCTCTGGGACCACATAGAACTTCAGTGAGGTTGGTTCCTTTGTACACATTGACATTCGGGGAGGTTGGTTCCTCTGGGACCGCCATAGAAATTCAGTGAGGATGGTTCCTCTGTAACCATTGACTTTTCGTGCAGGTTGGTTCCTCTGGGGACCACAGAACTTCAGTGTGGGTTGGTTCCTCTGGGACCACATAGAATTTCAGTGAGGTTAGTTCCTCCTGTAACCACATTGACTTTCGTGTGGTTGGTTCCTCTGGGACCACATAGAACTTCAGTGAGGTTAGTTCCTCTGTAACACACATTGACTTTCGTGTAGGGTTGGTTCCTCTTGGAACTCTGGGACAAAGAATTTCAGTGAGGTTAGTTTCCTCTGTAAGCACACATTGAAATTCAGTGAGGTTGGCTCTCTGTGATGAAATTCCTCGTGAGGTTGGTTTATCTCTGGGACCACATAGAAATTCAGTGAGGTTAGTTCTCTGTAACCACATTGACATTCGTGTAGGTTGGTTCCTCTTGGGACCACATAGAACACTCAGTGAGGTTAGTTCCTCTGACAAGGCACCACATTGAATTTCAGTGAGGTTGGTCCTTGTAACCACATAAATACAGTGAGATAGTCCACACTTGACTTTCGGGGAGGTTGGTCCTCTGAGACCACAAAGTGGTTAGTTCCTCTGTAACCACATTGACTTTCGTGTGGGTTGGTTCTCTGGGACCACATAGAACTTCAGTGAGGTTATTATTAGAATTTCCTGCTGGTCACATTGACATTCGGGGAGGTTGGTTCATCTGGGACCACATAAGAATTTCAGTGAGGTTGGCTTCTCCAACTACATTTGACTTTTTTTCGTGTAGGTTGGTTCCTCTGGG